GCTTAGGAATCTTCATTGCATAGTTCTTTGGTGGGGGGGGGGCAGGATGGAGTTGCCTACATTATTAACAGCTGTGTTTAAAAAGATATGTTCTGAAGAACGTTAAGAGGTGCTCTCATAGCACTGGACCCATTCCAGTCCAGCTTCTGTCCTGGCCACGGGACGGAGACAGTGTTGGTCACCCTGACAGAAGATCTCTGCAGACAACTGGACCAAGGCAGGTCAGAGCTGCTGTTGTTGCTCGATCTATCAGCAGCGTTTGACATAGTTGATTACAATCTTCTGACTCACTGCCTTGCCGACATAGGAGTCCGGGGGGTAGTCTTAAAGTGGCTCTCCTCCTTTCTCCGTGGTTGGGGACAGAGGGTGGCACAGGGAGAGAGGATGTCAACTAAGTACCCCTTAATGTGTAGGGTCCCTCAGGGGGCAGTCCTCTCCCTGATGTGATTCAACATCTATATGCACCCCCTTGCCCAGCTGGTACAGAGTTTTGGGTTGAGGTCTGCTACTGGACGGCTACCCAGATACCACCCTGCTTAATTTGACTGAGGGATTGGAGGCTGTGGTGGGATGATTAAAAAAGAGTAGACTGAGGCTGAATCCAGTGAAGACAGAGGTTCTGTGCCGGGGAGGGTGGGAGCGTCAGGGCTGGGGCATAGACACTAACACTGGCGCAGTCCATCAGGAGTTTGGGCGTAGTCCTGATGCCTCCTTAACTATGCAGGCCCAGGTCACTAATATTGCCAAACTGGCATTTTTCCATCTACGCCATGCGGCAATTGGCCAGTTTGGCGTAGTGGTTAAGTGCACAGACTCTAATCTGGGAGAACCGGGTTTGAGTCTCCACTCGCAGCTGCTGACTTGCACCTGCTGATGTGACCTTGGGTCAGTCACAAGCTCTGGCACAGCTGTTCCTGAAAGAGCAGTTTGTGTGAGAGTTCTCTCAGCCCCACCTACCTCACAGGGTGTCTGTTGTGGGGAGGGGAAGGGAAAGGAGTTTGTAAGCCGCTCTGAGACTCCGAGTGAAGGGCGGGGTATAAATCCACTTTCTTCTCCTCCTCCTCCTCCTCATGCTCTGACTTAGTCACAGTAATCCATGCGACAGTCTCCTCCAGATTAGACTGCTGTAACTCACTTTACACTGGCCTTCTCTTGAGACTGACCTGGAAACTTCAGCTGATCCAGAATGCAGTGGCGCGAGTCCTAACAGGAACACCAAGGACAGCACATATACAACCTGTGCTGCGTCAGCTACACTGGTTTCCAGTGGAGTACCGAGTCAGATTCAAGGTGTTGGTACTGGCCTTTAACGCCTTGAGTGGTCTGGGACCAGCGTATCTTCGGGGACCGTCTCCTCGGGTATGTCCCCGGGAGAGCATCATGCTCTGCTGAGAGCAATCTACTGGTGATGCCTGGCCCCAAAGACATCTGGCTGTCCTTGACCAGAACCAGGGCTTTTTTGGCCCTGGCTCCAACCTGGTGGAACTCTCTGCCAGCTTCCACCAAGGCCCTGTGAGATTTATTTGCAATTCCGCAGGGCCTGTAAGGCAGAGATGTTCCGCCAGGCTTTTGGTTGAGGACAGCGACGGTTTCAATCACAGCTGGCACCTTCCTCTTTACTCCTACCATGACCGCTTCCGCCTCCTTCATAACCTGCCCATGAGATGGAAGAACAGTCCAGAGTAGATTCTTAAGTTAAATTATCAACGCCATCTGGAGATGGTGTGAGTAAGATAAATTGAATGTTGATTTTAATCTGTATTTTTGTATGTTTTAACCTGTTGTAAATCGCCCAGAGCCCTGTGTGCTCAGGGATAAGGTGATTCAGAAGTCTAATAAATAATAATAATAATAATAGTTGGATAGAAATCAACAATACACAAGCATTTAAATTGCACTTTCTGTCCATCATTCTTATTAACAGGACTTGGGTGTTTTACACTACAAGCAAAAGTCAGGGCCATGCCCCAAAGATGTTTATACTTAAGCAGGAAGGAACAGGAGAAGGCAACAAGGAATGGACATAAGTAAAGGCAGTGGCCCGTAACTTAGATTTTGTAGTGATTGGGGCTGAAAATTAGAAGTTTTCAATGTGGGTTCGTGGAAGAAGTGGGTTTCAATGAGAGGTGGCATCACGAGATGTTCTAGGATCAATTGTACCCAGTCTTATTTTGCAACATATAAGGCAGTTACTTTCTCTAGAACAGTCAATCTTCTCTTATCAGAAACCTCCTCAGATCAGAGTGACATTGAAAGCCGAATCCAGGCACTAAAGAATGAGTTACGGAATAGAAAGTCTGTGGTCTACCAGCTGATAAAGGAGCAAAAGAAGAGGCACAAGGCGAGGCTGAAAGCCCAGGAGGCTAGCCTGGTCAAACAGTTAGAGGTAAGAAGTATTCAGAAGAGGCATTATTTCTCTTCTGAAGTCCATCTCACAATGAACTGCTAATTCATTGGTATAAGAGACTATTATTTATTTTAAGGTTCTCTGACACGAGGTAGTAATGTGCTGGGGAGAAAATGCTGAATCCTTCATGGATGTTATTTTTGTTCATATAGTTCAGTTAGCAGAATTACAGTTCTTCTCTTTAGTTGAAAGATGAACAGGGTTTATGCTATGTACTGTATTGTTGATGGCTTCTAATGTTCCCTGCATTTCTCTTCTCCCAGCAGCCCTCTTTGATTCCCCAAAAGCGAATGCTGGAGATTGCCGGGCTGACCCGGGTCCATATGGGTCCAGTGGCTGGAGTGAGAAGGGGGAATTGTTCAGTCTTCCCCTTTCTTAGTGTTAGTATATGTAGCAAGACTTAGATGCATCATTTAAAGCAGGTTGAAATAAAAATTGAACGACGGAAAATATTTACAAGAATACCTTTTGCTTTGGGCAGCTAAGCCACCCACAGAAATAAACTCCGAAAGAGCAGAAGCTTATCTTCTCTCACATCTTTTTTTTTTTTTTTAAATATCAGACTTATGATGAATTCATCAAGAAGACTGAAGCAGAGTTGAGTCACAATCTGGAGGCAGCACCTACAGCTAAACTGCAAATTAAAACTCCATCTTTTGTTACAGAGGAACCAAAGATCAAGCCACCTCCACTCCATAGGTAAACTGGATAAAGACTTAAAGCTTTTGTTTCTTGGGCGCCAAGTCTGATAAAACCTCACCAGTCCTCTACATGTGGTGGGGAAGAAGACTATGCCCACCTAGCATGACTGCCCCACTTCTATCGCCACTGGCCCTGTAAGTGGGGGTGTGATATTCTAATATAGCCTTCACGCATAGGCTTAGATTGCAAAGTTTGGACAGTTTTTATCTGGGAAACGGATCTAGGCACTTTGAATTTTAGGTGCATAGGACTGTTACATTCCCTTGTGTACAGTTGGTGGCATATGAGATAGGGTAGGCGTGCTGGGTGGCTAGGGAGGTAAAGCACACTCTTGTCCTCTCTCACCCCATGCATAGAGGAGTGGTCAGGAGTTGTGTGATCCTATTGAGCCCTGGTTGTGTTCCAGTATCTGAAAAAGAATTCCCACCTCTCCAGCCTCCAGAGGGTTTTTTAAAAAAATCCTTCTGTATCCAGCATTTTGTTCTGCGCTACTGTATTGTTTAAGCATCTGTAATGACACGGTGATTTTTCTCTAGACCTGAGAGGACAAGACGTTGGAAATCACTAACTGATTCTGTACACTGTAAGGGGTCTCCGGAGTCCTTAACAGAGCATATTGGTATGTAACTAGGCATGATTCCATGCAGGGAGGCTATTCCTGTGGTTAGGGTTGTGCATTTAGATATACACGAGCTGAAAATATACCCCAAAATACTTTATTTTTCAGGTATATTTTGGCATCCCAAAGATATTTTTAAAAACTGGGGGGAGGGTCCTTGAAAAAAACCCATATATATTTGGTATTTTCCAGGAAGATTGGGAACCAGCATTGCAGGCTCCCTTGGACTGTTTTTGCTTTCCTTTACTTTCCCCCCCACTTTGTTACTTTGTATGGTGTTTTTATGGGCTTCCCAGCTGTTTTTGTCAATTTCAAACTTCTCTTGTTAGTTTCAAGAGGGTTTTCCCCCTTCTGCCCTTTCCAGTTTGCAAAATCCTGCCCCTCCCCCTCGGGTTTGGATTTCTGACATTGTGCTTTGAGATCAGTCCTTTTAAGCTTGCAGTGCCAGTGGCATTGGATTCTGCATTGCATTGTAACTGAAGAAGAAGAAGAGTTGATTTTATACCCCGCTTATCACTACCCGAAGGAGTCTTGGAGCAGCTTACAATCATTTACAGTCCCAGGGAGCCAGTTTGGTGTAGTGGTTAAGTGTGTAGACTCTAATTTGGGAGAACCGGGTTTGATTCCCCACTCCTCCACTTGCAGCTGCTGGATGACCTTGGGCAAGCCGTAATTCTGATAAGAGCTGTTCTTGAAAAAGAGCAGCTTCTGTCAAGAGCTCTCTCAGCTCCACCTACCTCACAGGGTGTCTGTTGTGGGGAGGGGAAGGGAAAGGAGTTTGTAAGCCGCTCTGAGACACCTTTGGGTAGTGAAGGGCGGGGTATAAATCCAATCTCTTCTTCTTCTTCTTCCTCCTCCTCCTCCTCTTCTTCTGCTGCTGCTGCTGTGTTTCCGCTCTGTTTTAGATTTCTGCTTGGTTTCCGATTTCTCCAGTCGTAACTGATGCTCCCTCTAAGCTGTGGAGTCTTGTGAGCAAAAATTCTACTTTGTGATCTACTGGCATTAAAACTATGAGCGAGCAATTTGGCTGCTGCATGTTTTTTGAAGGGGCAAAGGGAGCTTCAGGTTTCCTTTCCACTCTGCTTTCACTTGTGGAAGCTGTGAACAGAGTGCTTCTTGCCACTTTTCTCTGCCTTCACATGTCCTTCCTAGGGCCCTCTTTAATTCTTGACTCTTAACTACTTAAGTGGGATGACCAAATAGCAATTGTTCTCTGCCTTCACATGTCCTTCCTAGGGCACTCTTTAATTAATTGCAATTATTATGCAAAAATGTTTTAAATATTTCTTTCCCTCCCCCAAGATGCTGTATCACTTTCTGAGAGATCTGACTCTTCACACCCAAAGAAATTCATTGAGGCAGAGATTCAGACCGAGGAGCATTTCCGAGCTCTATCCCCAGTCCTCGCCCCACAAAAAGCCGGAGCAGAATCTGGTGATTCGCTGGATGGTTTCCCCTCCTTGGCTGTCCTCAAAGATTTAGGAGACTTGTACAAAATGTCCCATGTGTCACAGAGCACTTTTGAAGATGCGACAAGTCATGATCTTCACATTTCCACTGACAGATCTGTAGTACAAGAGGAGGTGGAGCCTGTAAAATCAGGAGACTCTGAGCCAGATGGCACCCACAAGTTTTCTGGAAGACCCGATGCTTCTGGTTTGGACACTGAGCAAAAGAATGGCCTGACCGTCTTGTTAAAGATGAGCACTGATCCTGAGATGGGCTTGGCTGTCGTGTGTGTTCAGGATGGAAAGGAGATACCAAAGTGGGAGGAAAGCTACAGGGATGAGAAATGTGCTGCATCAGGCCAGTCCTCTCAGAAGCTGGATGAGACCTTGCTTTCAGAACAGCTGGCTGCTTGCACAGAGACACGGGATCCTAATGGTTTTGAGAGATCTTCATCAAGAAAACGTAGTTCAGACGATGGGGCACCCAATACTGAGTGTTACAAGGATGATTTTGACACCTCTGTGTCCTCTCTTGGAAAAGACTCTAGGTCACATGGAGAGAAACCGTGGCATACAAAAACCCCTAGGAGCAGGTCTGCAAGTATTGGAAGTGACAAGGAAGTGAGTGACTGTCTCTGCGACAACGTTCTGTCTGTGGCTTCCAGCGTTCCTTCAGAAAGACTGTTAATCCTGAACTCGCCAAGAGAACTGATGGAGAGTAAAGAGCGCAGTGATGTGGAGGGAGAATCAACTCATCTTGATTCATCACTTTGGGCTTCCTCTTGCAAGGCAGAAGAAGAGGAAAGTCCCCTACAAGATTTCAGCATCGGGGACAGAGTCCTTGTCGGTAACGTCCAGCCTGGGACACTGAGATTTAAGGGCCTGACCGATTTTGCTGAAGGCTTTTGGGCTGGCGTGGAATTAGACAAGCCTGAAGGAAAGAATAATGGCACCTACGGTGGCATTAAATATTTTGATTGTAGAGGAAAACATGGGATTTTCGCTCCTCCGCGAAAAATCTCACGGATTTCGGAGCATTTGGGTGGCCTCGTGGACACAAAGGAGCACTCTTTCTGCCCGATTCAGCTTCGGAGCATTTGGGTGGCCTCGTGGACACGCAGGGGGAAATTGTGAGTGAAAAATCTCTCCAGGATAAATCCCGAAGAGGTGCATCTACCTTAGAGGGTCACTATCACTTACGGCAACTTCTTGTGATGCGTTCTGAAATGTTTTGGGGAGTGTATATGCAGAGATGTGGAAAACATTGGTAGGCATCCCAAGAGCTGCTTAAACTCACGCAAGGAGTCTGCGCTAATTCAGCACAATTTTCGGCTTCTCTAAACCACATATATCACCCCCCTGCCCCATGTCACACACTGTTTTGGAGGCTTCGCTGTTTTAAAAGCGGCTTGCCATGCAGCACCCGGGACTGCTGTTTGAAAAACCTCCCATAGACTTCTTGGTTCTTGGCTCTGACCATTGGGCCTATGCTTAGTCTGAGCATGCTGGCACCAGAATACCACCTGTTCACTTAATCTTATATTGTTTGCCTGCCAACAAAGTTTAAAAGCAAAGAAGATTGTTGAGCAAGACCAAAGGAATTTCTGCTCATGCTTGTGTTAATAGATTATCCTTTGAATTTGTGTAAAGGATGCCTGTCAACAACAAAAAAGTTGGCTCTACTATGGGGACGTTCCTCCTTTTGACTGCATCTGATTCTGCTGCAGCAGTAACTGTATGGATGCTTTTATTCGAGGCATGCACACTTTTTCAAATACATTGGAATGGTAGGTAAGGTTCACACTTATAGACAGGGGCTGAACAGTAAATTAGCATGTAACATGATGAAGATGTGCAAAGTCAAAACAAAATAACATCCAATGGGGAGTATCAGTTTACTTCCCACAATTAGAAAATATACCTGTATACATTTATCTGCTGTTTTGACATATGTATTGCTTTGTAGCTGGTTTTTTTCTTCTTAATATTTTTATTGAGTATATATATTACAATTTCATACAGATATTTCTTTCCTAATATATTATACTCCTTTTGAAACTAAACAAAAGAGAGAAAAACCATTGAGGTGACATATCATCTGTTTACATCTTAATCCCAATCTTGTTTCTAACCTCTTCTTTTTCTTATTTCCTTATATTACTCACTTATAATACCACCATGCAACTTCCTCTATATCATATTATATTCTTCTTGTAGCTGTTGACCTTATAACCTTAGCTTGTTATTTTGTTTTGTCTTTGCGCATCTTCATCATGTTACATGTTAATTTGCTGTTCAGCCCCTGTCTATAAATTTGAACCTTACCTGCCATTCCACTGTATTTGGAAAAGTGTGCATGCCCACGAAAGCTCATGCCTTGAATAAAACTTTGTTGGTCTTAAAGGTGCCCCACTGGACTCTAAATTTGTTCTACTGCTTCAGACCAACACAGGTGACCACCTGGATCTATCTGTATGGACGCTATCCGCATACTTCAGGGCTCTTTTTGTAGAAAAAGCCCAGCAGGAACTCATTCGCATAATAGGCCACACCCAACAGCAAAACTCATTAGCATATTAGGCCACACCCTGACAGCACCGCTCATTAGCACATTAGGCCACCCCCCCATGTTACCAGAAGTGTGGTCATCCAGCCACACCCACCTTTCCCTTCTTATTTTGTTTACCTTGTTTGTTGTCAAAACCCAGGGCTTTTTTTGTAGCAGGAACTCCTTTGCATGTTAGGCCCCACACCCCTAATGTAGCCAATCCTAATGAGTTTCTGCTATTGGGGGTGGCCTATTATGCTAATGAGTTCCTGCTGGGTGTGGCCAAATCAGGAGCCAGCCGGAACTCCGTTCCTGTGCGTTCCTGCCCAAAAATAGCCCTGCTCATGCTCTAGGGCAGGGGCGGCTGAGCTTCCTTAATGTAAGAGTGACAGGGTAAGAGCCACACAGAATAAATGTCAGATGTTTGAGAGCTGCAAGACGTGAACAAATATCACACATACGTTTTTATTGGAAAATATGCAGATTTGCTCTTTATTAACATTAAATGAGATTGCCAAAAATAAAAAGGGGTAAAAATAGATACTGATAAATATAACTGGACAAATGAATATCATTATTTGTTTGCTAATGATATTTGTCTAAGAGAGAGGTGGGAAAAAAGAGATAGAGAGAGAAACAAAGAAAACAAATAGATGGGGGGGAGGGAGGGGGAAGGAAGAAAAGAAGGAAAGAAGGTGGGGAGAAAGCAACTTTAACTTTAAATGCATCCTCCAGGGCCCCCCCCCCCAGCTGGCTGGGCAAAAGGATTTAAAGAGGCAAATGCCTTCTCCAAACCGGCCAGCGGGGGGGAGGGGTGTCTTTGAGAAAGCATTTAAAATTAAAGCTGCTTTCTTTCTCTGCTCCCCCCCCCTCATCTCAAGCCTACACGGGGGTGGGGGGAACACTGGCTGGGGAAGGGAAGACCAATTGGGGAGGCATGCCTCCCCGTCGCTTCCTAGCCGCCCTGCCGGGAGCCACACAATATGTGTGAAAGAGCCGCCTGCTCTAGGGCTGCATGCTACTACTGTAACCTTTCTCACTGTAATTGCTCTGCATACACAACGTCCTAAAAATGTTGTTGGAAAGTGATACCATAGAGAAGAGCTTTTCCTTTTGCTTCCCCTTTCTGTGTGTGGCACTGAGCTCTTCTCTGATTTCATTGGAAACGTGTCTAAGGGATGTATAAATCCAACAAATACTGCTGTTCTCCAGCTTCCATGACTGTTGAAATGTGGGGTGACATTGCCCAACATCACAGCCCGTTGAACTTTGGTAATTATTTAATTGTGGTGCATACCGCATGCATGCTCTAAAATAGTAACATTTATTTTTCTTATTGTACAGGAAAGCCCTGTATTTGGTGCCAGTGGGCAGGAAGAGCTTGCCAAGAGTCTGGCAGGGTTGGAGCGTAGCCAGGAGTTCCTGAGTGTGTTAGGAGATGACCGAGACTGGTTTGATGAGGACTTTGGCTTGAGTACTCATGAACTCCCTCTGAAGCAAGCTGAAGAATCCGCAGTGTTGCCAAAGATAGAGCCTCCCAAAGTGTCCTCCAGGCTATGTGAACCACCCTTAGGTGTCCCATACACTGCAAAGGAGGTGGAGGTCTTGGTGCATGAAGCAGCTGAGGAACTATGGAAGTGCAAAGAGCTGGGGCGTGACCTTCAGGCTGCTGGTTTTCCAAGGGATCTAAGTGATTCCCCCAAAGATGATATCAAAGCCATCAGCAAACAAATCTATAAACAGGTACAGCTCTGGGGACATTCTTCTCATCTACTGACTCAAGAATTCTGAACCAGCCTGTCTTTTGGAAGAACTGAGCTTGGTGCACCCCCAAATACAAGAGAGGCTGACCCCACAATTATACTTGTGCTCACAAGTCCTGGGTCTTGAGGACAAGCAACTCTAAAGGCTGGGAACAGTTAGGCTGATTTTGCACAAGGAGCTGCGCCGCCATTGCACCTCTCTTTGCCCCGTTTCCATTGGTCAATTTCCCACTAGAAGCTGCGCGGCCGCATTTTGACCCACGACTTTGCCCGATTTTCCCAGCGGTTTCGTGATCCTGTTTTTTGAGGACCACAAAACCGCAGGGGAAATCAGGCAAAGCCGTGGGTCAAAATGCGGCCATGTGGCTTCGAGTGAGAAATTGACCAATGGAAATGGGGCAAAGGGAGGCGCAGCTCCTTGTGCGAAATCAGCCTCAGTGTGCTTTCAGGCCCATGTGCAAACAAAGGAAGAAAATGATCCTTGGAAAAACACGGACTACTCTGTTGGCCCCCAGCATATGTTAACAGTGGTAGGTGGGTTGGGCCAGTCTCTCAAAAGTGAGTGTAAAAGAGAATGAGCACAAGAGAGTTCAATAGATTAGAAAGGCTCTAAAATAACTACTCCCCATGCAGACTAAATTGCAACCTCTGGTCTGCACGGTGAATAGTTCTCTCCTAAATATCATCAAGAAGAAACTTAAAGAATACTTTTTCCTTTTATTTTCTGAGGCTGTGTTTGACTTAACAAGAGAGACTTTTGGAGAAATCTTCGCAGAAGATCCAAATTTGAGCCAGCCTGTATGGACGAACCCCTGCAGGATCACTTCTACATACTTCCATCGAGTAAAAGATCCAAGCAACCCTGAGGAAGTCAAGGTATGTTTGAAGCTGTTAATTTGAACTTAGTTCACTTGGTGTTCTTCATGCATAAGCCATAAAGTGTTCTGTGGAAATGTGGGTTATCTCATCTAGAATTTAAGTTTATGATTTATCTCTGAAAACTGTAACTGATAGAATCCAGGTGGTCAGCCACGTTGGTCTGAAGGCTAGCAGTAGAACAAATTTAGAGTCCGGTGGGGCTCCTTTAAGATCTGCAAAGGTTCATTCAAGGTGTGAGCTTTTGTGTGCACGCATACTTCCTCAGACACATTGAAATAGAAGTTATCAGTCCATACATATAGAGAGTGAACAGCAAATTAACATGTAACATGATGAAGATGAGCAAAGACAAAACTAAATAACAAGCTAAGGTTATAAGGTCAACGGTTGTAAAGCAATAAATATGTCAGAATAGCAGATAAATGTGTAAAAGTATCTTTTCTAATTGTGGGAAGTAAACTGATACTCTTAATTCTCTTAGGCGTGGAGGTCACTTAACAGCATTTTTTTCTTTTTTGAGATGGATGCAGCAAAACCTCCCAATATTCCTTGCATTACATTCAGTACTCTAATATACTATTCTGAATAAGAAATACACTAAAATACAGAGGATTGTTAGACGAATTACTTTATTTACAGCAATTGGCAATTTATAAATGGGTTCTTGCCAGTTTATACCAAGGTCCTGTTCCCATCAAGGATTACCAGTAAAGGATTCGAGGCTGTTGTGGTTAAAATAGATGTCTTTTACTTAAAAATATATCTCATACAAACAATACTGATGCACTCACACATTCAATCAAGTTCTGGAATTAAGCACGGTTGCATTAGCAGGTAGGGGTGATGATGGGCAAGTCTTGCAGCTTGGTTATTCCAATGAAGAATGGATGGGAAGAAATGGAAAACTAAGGAATTCGCACATGACCAGAACCAGCCGGAACGTGTGGGCAGTAGAGACAAGGGTTGGGGGTAGCAAGTGGGACTCAAGAGGAGTAAAAGCAGACAGGGGTCGTCTTGGGGGGAATGCTAGCTAGGAGGAGTCAGGTGACTGGTTCCCTCCTTTTATAGGGGGTCCAAGAGATGGGTGGTAACTGTGCCAACCTCTTGACCCACCTACCTGTTAGTCCGTCCCAAAAACAATCCTATTGGTTGCATGTGGGAAGGGGTGGTTACCTAAGAGGAGTGGCCAATATTGTAACCTAAAACCCTTACTCATAGTATGGCATCTGGACAGGTGTGAAACCTAGGCGTCAGGATGCTCCATTGTAGTGCTGATGAAGCTGGCCATTCCATTGATAACAAAATGTCCATATGGCAGGAAATTCCATCTCAGGAACAAAGCAAGTGATGGGTAGTACGTGACTACAAGCTGCTCTGTCATGGGGGCTGTCTCTTCCTAGAGTTGTTGTTTCCATTGCTCACAATAATGGAGGTTTGTGCTTCTTCACCTGGCTGGGTAACTGTGTAGCTGAAACTTTATTTACATGTAAGGTATGTGCATGCACCTTCTATGTGTGGCATCACAACGGGTGACCTAAAGTGTTCAGCTTTCTGAGCCTGTGTGTGTGTGTGCACAGTCCATTGTGTGTAGCAATAAATAGTCCATAAAGCAAATATCAGGCTTATTCTCTAACAAGGATGTATAATCCTTCTTGTTGAGAATACACATGTGAGGACTGAATGAGTTAGCATATGTAATGAGATAGGAAACCAATATCCCTATTGAGTTCTGGGGAGGTTTTTTTCCTCTGAATCTGAAACATTGATTCCTCCCCTCCCCCTGTTTCTTCTTGTGCTGAGGTATAAAGGTGTCTTACTGCTGGTTTATCTATTACAGACCAGAGAAAGGAGTAGACTTTATGTGGGAAGATTCCCTACTGATCTTGTTGAAGCATTGCACATTCCACTTCATTTCTTCCAAACAAAATACACCAAGCTTGGAGCTTACCAACCTGTGCTATTTCCATGGAAAGGGAGATGTCACACCATGGAAATAGCACATAGATAGAATAGAACAGTTTCATTAATATGCAGTAGCCGTCATGAGGAAGGCCTTTCCTGTCCTGAACAAAAGTCTCCTTGCATCTACTACATTTCTAGTATACGTTAGGACTCTCCCTCCCCCTCCCAGTGGGGGAGGGGGGGAATCTTCAGTCAGTTTTCGCTAACATTTACAGAAATAGGGGAAACCTTTTAAATAAATCTTCTCAAATGGAAAGTGTGCACACCCGTTAATTGTTACAGCTACAATTAACTACAAAGTTATTATTAAATTGGTACATTCAGATTCTATATATTCTAGATTCTTTATATTTAAGTTTCTGAGCAGAAGAGTTAGTTGGCGAAATAATACTCTTTTGCCTCCTCTTGGGATGAATCAGGGATTAGAATTTTACAGTTTTCAGTTACCCTGATGTGTTCGCGGAAGGGCCAGAAAATATTACCTGGGAATGTGTTAGATCTTTCGCCTATTATGCATGGATATTTTCCCTTGCTTTCATCGTGCATGTCTGTCAGGTTTTCTTTGTCATTCTGCATTTCCCCTAGTTTTCACCATGCACGTCCACCAGGTTTTCTTTTTCGTTCTGTGTTTGCTTTCCGGTCACCATTTCCCCGGGCTGAGAGTGCTTTTGTGCTGGTTTTTTCCTTTGCTTCGCCTCCTTGCTGAGGGTAATTCAAAAGCGCATGCATTACTTTGGATTCCCCCCCACACCTTTTTCCCGCCCCCTGCAGAGGCAACTGCACCATGCACATCAAGGTTGTTCTGCCCATCTTGTACCTTCCACCAATCATTGGTGTAATCAGCCCAGCTTTCCACTGTGCTTGATTGGTAGCACAGGACCCAATGCCGGCCTTCCCCTTCCCCCTCCCCCTCTCAGCTCTTGCAAAGAGGCTTCTTTTTTCTCTCTCTCCAGTAGCTGCAGAATAAATAAATAACAGCAGAGAAAAAATAATGGTTCAAAAGGCAGGCACACAAAACTGAAGTCAAGCTTTAAAGGCTTGACTGCTCAGATCCTTTGCCGTAAGCTGTCTGTGCATAATGGGCCTTTGACTGCCCAATCCTATATCCAGTGATAATTCCTTAAATAAAGATATTCCATCCAATTGTTGTTTTTTTAGAGCGTATAGTGTGAATAGAAAGCACTTCCTTCAAATAATTCTGTGTTTGTGTTTGTCCACTGTACTTTAGAGCTTCATAGCAACGGAGGTGCTAAAGCTGTTAAATTGGAAAAAGGAGCCAAGCAACAGAGTGGGCTGGCAGAAAATGATCAAATGTGGACATAAAAAATATTATAGAGTCAATCAAGTGCTGGTCAGTAATTTTTTTAAAAAACTTTGTACTTGATATCCAGAAATAAGTACCTATGGGAAATGTTGGTTAGGTCTCAAAGCATGGACATGATCCAGCCAAAGTTAAGTACTTTCGAGTCCCATTCACTTCAGTGGGAGTTGTTTAAGCACTTAGTGGAGTCTTAGTGAACACTATCTATAGAATGGCTTAGTGTGAAAAGTGAATAGCAAGGACTTTCTCCCGATGTCAGTCTCCTCTCCTCCATTTTATCCTCACAATAACCCTGTGAAGTAGGCTAGGCTGAGAAAAAGAGAGAGTGACTGGCCAAAGGCAACCCAGCAAGCTTCCATGACAGAGTGGGGATTTGAACTTGGTTCTCCCAGATCCTAGTCTGACAATCTAACCACTACACCACTCTGACTGTTACCTATTTCATTGTGACTTGTCCGAGAGGAAGAAAAGCCATAGATGGTTACACGAACACTCACCAAGCAACGTCTGTTTAACCACAGTGACTTTTCCTCCCTACTCTCCCTCTCTAAAATTTTCAGTTGCAGGAACTGCATGAAGAGGAAGTTCAGTGGATGAATTATGAGGAGGAGGCGCTATATGTAAAGATGCACCTGGCAGATGGGATTTTTGAGGCCTTAATCAGAGAGACAATTGATGTCCTTAACCAGATCAAAGGAAAACAGGACAGATTACTGCCCATGTGATGTCCAGGCTGGATACCTTTGTCATAGCGATGTTGCTGCTGATGCACAATATGACCTTGAACACAGCTGAGAAGAGAGAAGACAGCGTGACATCTCCCCCTTCCCATCTTTGATTTTTAGAGGCTTCACCCTGGATTTGTTCCAAAAAGAGCCTGCCCATTGATCCTTTAATGGTCTGTTTACAGCAACTGTGCTCTGCATTTCAGATTCATTTTGTTACCCCAGATATCCCATATAAAATTCACTGTCAACAGTGAAAACTTAAACCATCAAGTAAACATTGTTTTTTATTTAAACAGCTGCTGTTCTAATCTGGTTTTGGTCATAAGTAGTAACTTTTGTTAGCCATTGTAATGATTTATCCTGCATTCAAAATCTGCGTAGGTCTCTTTCTGCTCACTCTCCCTGTTTTGTACTATTCCTGTGTTCATCTTTCTGTCTCAAAATGTGGACCTGGAGACTGTCACTGGATTAATCTAGGGGAAGCTGGATGGTTCTCGCTCCCGCTGTCTCTAAGCGGAATGAAAAGCGAGCACAAAGGTGAATCTGAGGCAAATGGCCCTATTTTTCCAGAGTTTTAGTTCTTCTCCCAAGGAACCACCTAAGTAAACATGTACTCAGGATTTCTAAGGCCCTTGACATGCAGGAGTTGCTCCCGGTAGGTCTTTGAACACGTTTCTTCTTCTCTTGCTTCCCGCCTGGGATAACGTGTTGGCAGAGCCATGACTTGGACGTGTTAGGGCTAGGAGAGTGTGTGACTTGGGGGGGGTTGTTTTGTACGCATGGTGAATTTCTTTTTTAACGTATTTTATAATTTGCATGTTAGAAATGTATGTCTAGTGCTACAGTGGCTGCATTACCTGATGACTGAAAATACCACAGTCTGGGAAGGGTGGCTGTATTGTAGGGGGAAATCCATCTCTGAGAAAGAAAGAGGGAAGTGGTGAAGAGTCGTGCATCTCTTCCACTGTGGGGTGAAAAGAGTGGCACAGACGCGTGGAGTTACGGAGAAAGCACCTGAAACGGATCGTGGAAACCTAGTGTCATCATCCCCACCCCACCCCCAGTGGTTCCTCAGTTAGGACACAGCCACTGTCAGACATAATGAGAAGACCAAGCAGATGGCAAGAAGACACAGCTAATCCAGGCTTGAATGCTGATGCCTTAATTTGAAATCTGTTTAACTTGGCATGACGTACAGAGCCAGAGCTATTTCCAAGTCAGATGTCCTGTCTTTGTGTGAACACAGCACTCCAGCATGGGAGGAAGCACTCCAAGGGCTATGTGACCCCAAAGATTTTGTGGGAAGAGTTGTGCCCTTTCCCCTCCCGTCTCCTTTAGTTGCTTGGGCTTCCATCCATGCCTACCTCTGCCAATACTCCTTAGTAAGCCTCTTTTGAACGCTTTTTGTGATTCATTTGCCTTTTGCATAACGATGTTCCACCCTATATGTATGGGAATGTTGTGTTCTCCTTGATACTGTTTGGAAAATGTGGCCTTCACATTTTCGCAATACTTGAATGAAAGTGTGCATTCGCAAAAGAAATTCGGTAGCCCAGTGTTCAGAGACCCTTGAAGTAACTGCACCAGAGACTTCTTCAAATTATTTTTGTTGTCTTAGGCTCGACTGCTATTTCCAGCAGAAACAGTTGACACAAGATGTCCATTTAAATTTTTAAGGGTTTTTAATTGTTTAAAGAATCGCTTAATGTTGATAAGCAAAACTCTTGAAAATTTATTTGACTTCTAGCAAGTAGAAACATGTGTGCGAGACTGGAAAGTTGTAATGTAGTAGACAAGATGAAATAAGATTGATTTCCTTGTATTTTTGTTTCACAGAGCCTTTTGATATACGTTGGGAAAGCTGTCTGGGGGAGACCCTTCTCCCCTGGCAGAGACGATAGCTCACTCTTTGTATGTGAGAATAACTTGCTCAAACTGGTTTCCAGGCCAGTTTCAGCCAATAGTTTCTCACACCCCTATACAGTATAGTTTATTAGATTGCAGGATGTAAGGTTTCTTGGTAACTATGATTTATAACACAACCATGGTAGTGCCTGTGTACATATGCACCAGTGTAAATATCTTGGTTCATTTGAGATGTACTTTAAAATCTTTAAGTTTATTTATGAATTATCTGGTTCCTCATTCTTTTCCGCATCAAACACAACTGCTCATATGGTGTTAATTCTGTGCATCCATCTTTTACAAATATTTTCCAAAAATATTTCCCAAAAGTGGCTGGCCAAGGGACATGGGGACAACAGATATCCCACGTCTGAAATGGCCACACCTTCCCCCCTCCCTCACCTGTTCTGGCATTTTAAAAGGCATGGTGGAAGGGGAAACAAGAGTGCCGTGCTACAGGCTTGATCAAGAATCGTTGGGTTCTGATGCCCTTGCAACATTTTTAAATCACTTTGAAATGGAGGCATCCTCATGGATGCTGCCACATCTAGTTTGGCATAGTCTATAGCCATTGATAGACCCCTTTAAATAAAAAACAAAAAAACGACCTGCCTTTAAACTCTCAGGTGCAATTAAACAAGAACAAAATCTCTCCGTCCAAGCCCATTTTGGTCATTTCATGTTAGCAAGGACTATTTTTCCATAACTGTGGCCAGAAAATGAACACAAGTCATGGGGGGAAAACAGCCTGCTGATCTGGGCATGACATCTGGAGCACTTACTAAAACCTGCTTCATAGGTTTTCCTGGACACATGGGCTATCAAACCTGTGATAATATGGATAGTTAGCTTTTTGTCAGTTGCACTAGTTACTGTAAACAGTTTACACAGCCTCATTTGTAATACTGGAGCTACTTTTGAAGAAGAGATTGGATTTATACCCCACCCTTCACCACCCAAAGGTGTCTCAGAGGGGCTTACAATCTCCTTTCCCTTCCCCTCCCCTCCCCACAACAGACATCCTGTGAGGTAGGTGGGGCTGAGAGCTCTTTTGAGGACTGCCATTGAGATAACAGCTCTGACAGAACTTGTGACTGACCCAAGGTCACACCAGCAGCTGCAACTGGAGAATCAAACCCGGTTCTCCCAGATTATAGTCTGCTCTCCTAACCACTAAACCAAACTGGCTCTCCAATCAAACATTTTGGTTCTTTGATATGCTGTTCCTGCATATGCACCTGTTTTGTTGTTGTTGCTGTTGTTGTTCATGCTTCCTTTTAAAGACTAATAGAAAAGTTAAAAAATACTTAACCTTTCCAACATTCAGTAGAGTGGAAGGCCATCTAGGGGCTGTTACAGATAACTGCTACATATACTGCAGGTTTTTATCCCAGACGAACCAGAGGCTTCATACTGCCATTCTATCAAAGGGAGTGGGTGTTGCCTTCTGCGCCCAAAGTAGCCTCCGAGGCCTGAGAACGCACAACCCGTGATGTATCCCAGCCGCATACAAGGTTTTCAGTTTAAGCTCTTGAGTCTCAAGCACCTCCCACACCCCGCTAATGCTTTTAGGAACTGGACCAGCATTAACACGAAAAGGAGCCACATCAATAGCACTGTCATGACTGCAAAGGTAGTGACAGAAGAAGCAGATCTAGACAACACAGGGTTGCCCCCCCCCCCAAGATAGTATTCATCATTCAGTAAACAACCAATCCAGTTCTTGGCTTATTAAAATTTTTATTCACATAATGTTTATGTGGAGCGTGACTCTGGGGAAAACACATTAACACGTTCCAGATTACACTGTGTTCTCTCCCGCTGTGACAGGTGCCATTTTGTGGCCGCCGCCGAGGGTGACCCTCTGGCAGCTCCAGGAAGAGACGCGAGTCTAAAGCATTCCGCTTCAGCTGCCACATAAATAAGTTACTTTCTTAATAAATTAGTGTCTTTTTAAAACTGCAGAACATTTCCAGTTCATCAGAACCCAGCGTAGAAGGCTATGATTTCTTCTGGCCTGCTTGCCAACAGAGACAAAAATACAGAGGGCTCTTTTATACTCAGTTTTGGTGCTTTGAAGCTACTCTGATGTCCATCACTGGGCAACAAAGAAACGGCCGTCATTCAAACACCCGTTGTTCACGTTGTTTATACTGGTTTGCAGCTAACACGTTGTGTATGAACAATAAGAAGGGAACATCCTGAGAACCTCAGCCAAATCTGCATGACATTTCCATCACTAGCAGTGCCTGTGTCAGTTTTGGGTGCAGGACTAGCCAAAATAGAAGGCTTTAGATGGTACAAATTTCAACTCAATATCTGATTCACTCAAATTTTCATTTTATGTTTCCAGAAGATGTTTCTAACCAGTAACCCTCATGGTAGCCACCATTACCTAATCATTCCTGTTGTAACACCACCTCTAGTACTCAGGTGAACCCCCTTTGGAAAAACTGACTCAATTATGAATGTTCTTTTTGTTCAAACACATAGCTTGCTATAGACAGGGTTTGGCAATTACATTAGTGTTTCATTAGGCCTGCTTGCAACTTTAAGAGTCACTGGCATGAGCACAAGTCTCAAAATGCTCCATGGCAGGGAAAGTTACTGAAACATAAGCAAGAACTTTTATTCCGCTTGTGTTGGCCAAGATATTGCTCAGCTGATATAAAAATCTATTAGAGTGGTGAATGGCAAATATTTGGGTCCTACTTTTAAGTCCTTAACAGGAATCCCAAGCATCAATTTTCATATCAATCAATGAAGACCGGTTGATGCCACTGATGAAATCTGACTGAATATGCACTGGTGCACAATAGTCAGAATTAAGACACAGAATAATTTTCTACGTATTTCTCCCTAGCATTCTGGAAGGAGGTTCTTTCCAAAACTAACAGGTTTATTCAAAACAGGGATGCTTAAAGCTTTCTGAGCCTCAATGCCAGCCTCAATTTCAGGCTAGTAATCACAAGGCCAGCAGATCACAGCTTGGGCTGTGTACCAGCTGAAAAAGGCATTCTAAAGACCTTAGTCAGTTGAAGGTTCAGGTATGACAAATGACACAATATCAAAGACATAATCCTATAGCACTGCATCTATGACTATGTCACAGGAGACGTGATAGCTTTGACAGAAAATCTTCCTTCCAAGTTTGGGGTGCCCAAACTATGTGTCTCATGAAGGGCTATCTATATTCTCATAAGAGGCTCAATCTTTCTTCCCTTATTTGGAAAGAGGATTTAGTTCAACTGAACCTGCATCTGATTTTTTAAAGCATTAGCAGCTATCAAAGGAATTATTATTTACTTAAAGAGAGCAAGATCCCTTGTCTATGGGAACACAGTAATGGCTTGCCTATTAATCTCTATGAAGAATTTATTAGTCATCTTTAGGACTGGTTGGGTCTTTGCTATTACCGCAGAATCCAGACTCTATTCAGCTTGCGGATGGGGCACAGGTCACAGGGACAACATAAAGGAGTTTCTCTCCTCAGCATCCTGGAATTGAAGGAGTGAGTTGAATACCACAGGTATAGTCACACGCCTTTTGATAGGGCTCACAAAAAAATCCAAATGACATCTGGGTGGAGGAGCTGTGTGCACATTCCAGGCAAGATGCCATGAAATCTCTTCCACAGGTGTACTTGTCTTGCTGCTGCTCATTTAAAAAGGGAGCCATCATGGATTCCACACCAGCCAATCCTTCACAACCCTGAACTGAACTAAACTATTTAAAAATTATACCTTGAGTAAGTGAGGGGAGACTATGGCTCTTCTGTAGAACCAGTCTGTCTTAATAGCCCAGTTCCGGTCTTTTCTCCACACACACCAGGGAAGCTCTCAGTGCAACATCCACTGCCAGCAATGGACCTCCCAAAGAGTTACAGAGGGCTGCCCAAGAGCAAGTCCCGTATCTTCAGCAGAACCTTCAAGCCACTGTTTCCTTCTCCGGTGCAGGAAAACTAGGCATTTCGTTTCCAGTTCATCCTGCTCACGGCCACGCAGAACCTGTTGTGCTGTTTTTTCTATTGTTTGTTTTTTAAGAAAGGATCCCAGCTCTCCTCCGTTGAAAGCTATAAATGGGAAAGTGTCATCCTATCTTCCACCAGCACAATATCTGAGCCAAACTGGTCTGTACATTGTTTTATCGTAGCCATGATGTTCAGGAGCCGTTGGTCCAAGGCGTCCATGTGAGGCGTGGACAAGACTGGTGAGATGGGGTCATGGGACATAGCAGTTTTTAAGGCAGACTTCAGTACCCCATTCTTTAGGTAGTTTAGCCTGTTCCAAGTGGAGACACGGATGCTGAAAGAAAAAAAAAAAGCATGTGCTATAAGCCTAGGCTCATGGAGAGGTGCATCGTGGAGAGGTACAGAGGTAGCACGTTTGGGCCTATCCACACACTAAATATAGCTATGGGTGGAGCTGTTCATTTGTTGTTGTTCAGTCGCACAGTCGAGTCCGACTCTTCGCGACTCCATGGACCAGCTCTTTGCCACAAAATATTACAAAGCAGTGGACACAAACTGGGGAGGCCTGGGTTTGGCCAATAAGTTCTCCGGATGACCTTGGACCAGGATATTGCGAGAATTAAATCCTCCTTGGAGAAAGGGCAAGATATCAGTGTGATACAAGTCTGTGGTGGAAATGATTTACGCAAATGGCCTGCGTGGGCATTTTACAAAGCTGCTCTATTGGCATGCTGTATCCCAAACTTCATAACCGCATTTTGTATTATCTAGGGTCCTTCCTCCACTAAGAAATGATGTGGGGAAAAGAGCCTTCTGGCTCACCTGACATAAAAGGTGGGTAAGCCAGCCATTCTTGTCTTGCCAATCAGCACCAGAAGGTGATGCTGACAAACTACTGCTCGACCCTGTGGAACTTGGGCAGTAGGGCTCCTCATGATTCTACCCAGGGGTCATTTCCTGTGGGAGCGCACAGGAGTGGAGCTCCGGCAGTAAGAAGCCCAGGGGGTGGGTACATGCAACAAGCCCCGCCCCCTGCTCCCAGCAGCCCTAAATCGGGCCACAAGGAGCAAGAGGCAGCCAGCTAAGTTGAAGAGCCCCCCCCCCCGCCTTCAAGTACAAGCTCTCCCTCCTCTGCGAGGGTAGATCTGCACGCCCCCCCCCAATAGCTAGCAATCCAAAACAGTCCAGTGGAGCCTTCTGACACACGTCCGGTGATGTCAGGGGGTGTGGCATATGCAAATAAGTTATGCTAATGAGCTCCTGCACCTCTTTTTCTATGAAATGACCCCTGAATCTACCTATATGAAACCACTGAGAGGGGTTTCTCAGAGATTTGACTAAAGCATTAGCAGCATGCAGATGACACATAGCGCTGCAACTCCTTTCGGACAAACTCAGTTGAAGTGGTCGATGTACTGAACAGTAAGGGGGTGGATAAGGAATAATACTAAAGCTGAATCTAGGCAAAACTAAGGTGGTGTTAGTCAACAGCAGAGCTAACCAAAGACTGAGGAGTCAGCATGGTTTAGACAGGGGTCACTCTCAGCCCTTAAGGAGCAGGTTTGTGCCCTGGAGTCCAATTAGATCCATCCCCTCAATATTTCAGATCAAATTATCGCAATGTACTTTACATAGGGCTTCCCTTTAATACTATTGGGAAACTCCAGCTGGTTCAGAATGAAGCCACAACACTGCTGAGTGAAATACCAGTATGGGAACATGCCAAGCCAATTTGCATCTGAGCATAATTCAAAGTGCTGATCCTTATCTTTAAAGTCCAATATGACCTGAGGCTGGGATATCTGAAGGACCAACTTCTCCCATATAAGCCTGCCAAGATCAGCAGAAATCTTAGTGTGTGAAACCCCTCCCTCCTGTCATGAGATCGGTGGCCTTAGGAGACAGGGGCTAGTGGCACCTTGGCTGTGGAACTCCCTCCCTACAGAAATCTGCCGACACCTGGCTGTCAAGCAAAGACAGTTTTATTCCTCCAGGCATTTGGTGATAATGAGTCTTACATTTGGCCACAGTCAAGATAAAATTTGAAGGGACTGCCTGGCTCACGGCTCAGCCTCATAGCCACACTGCTAGGTTAGCTCTCAAATTAAGGGCTAAATTAATTCTATACACGTAAGAAAGGTATTAGATGACCCGCTCTGGTTATGAGTTGCCGAAAGCAGCAGTTCAAATACAGGCCATAGTTTAATGCTAAGGCTATAAGGTGCGAACCACAGACATGATTTCTGGGGCACCTCTTTCTGACAAAAGAAGTCTGTGACATTTTTGTAGCCAAAGAGAATGAGAACTCTGTTTTTCCTCTGAGAAATCCCTGAGCTAGCAGGCCCATGGCTCCTACTCCCCACTGTTTCTTCCGTATTTACACAGCAGCACTTGCAAGGAATATCAGAACTTGGTTCTGTACTACCAGTGGCGATGCTTCATGTGATTTAGCATAAACCAGGCTCTGACAGTCAAACATTCTGAAAGCTCCCTCAGGGATTAGCAGAGAAAGATGAAGAGGACCACAGCTATTGGCTGCTATTGTCTGTCTAGGCAACTCCAGTTCTCTCTCAGTGCAGTCCTGAACACAGTTACACCCTTCCAAATCCACTGAAATCAATGGGCTTAGAAGGGTGTAACTCTGCTAAGGACTGCACTGGCTGCCTGTCTCTGCAGAAGCCTTTAGAATGATCAAGAGTCAGAGGGTAGCTTACACATGGGTATTTTTCACATGATCATTACACATGTAACCAGGATCTCAAGCGGGAAAAAAAATATTAAAAGTCCAGAGCCATCCACACACTTTAACAGAAAGTAATATGCATTGCAGAATCTAAACCAACAATTTGACTATTATTGCAATACACTGAATACCACTGGATTGGCTGCCAAACCTGCACACTCCAAGGATGCTCAGAGGAACACCAATTACCATCAATTCACTTTTAAGATCCGCATGTTGTAAGACCAATAGATATTTTGCCTTTACTCACATGCAGCATTGATAGAGAGGCGCAAGAATGCTTCTCTCATCCAGGGAAGGGTTCCCAAAACTGAAAAGCAAATGGTATCAATCAGGCAAATCCTTTGGGAAATTCTACGTCCCCTTATAAAGCAAAGCAGGAATAGGAAATACATGCAAGTACTTTATAGTACAACATCCCACAAACAATAGGTTGGATCCCACAGAGGATCTCCACAGCTTGAAGGGAGTTCCATCTGCGGAGCATGACTTCCTCCCCTCCCCACCCGCAGCCCAAAATGCCCGTCAAAATGCTGCTTTAAAGGGAGAGGAACTACCAGAAAAAGCATGAGAGGGGAGTCACAGGTCTGCTGCAGGAGAATTAAATTGGCAAAACCACCACCATCCCCCACTCCATCCATGGAAATCATCCACGGGATCCAACCCAATTAGATGCATTAAGGGGCTGTGCTGAGTTGCTTCTAAAATTTCAATGATTGCGCCAATCTTGAACCTTTGAGTAGGGCCCATAACAACACACGCTTTGCATGTAGAAGGTCCCAGGATCAGTCCCCAGTATTTTTAGTAGGTTTATACCCAGTTTTTCTTCCCAATGGGGATACAAAGCAGCATAACTCATTATTCCCCCTTCCTACATTTCATCCTCCTAACAACCAATGCTCCCTCTAAGCTGTGGAGTCTCGTCAGCAAAAATTCTACTTTGTGAGCTACTGGCATTAAAGCTGTGAGCAAGCGATTTGGCTACTGCATACATTGGCTTGCTCTGGAGCGATCCTTCCTGAGCTAAGACAAAAATGTGTGAGCTGGAGGCTAAAAAACTGTGAACTAGCTCACATTAACTCAGCTTAGAGGGAACATTGATAACAACTGCCCTGCGAGGTAGGCTAGGCTGAGAGAGACAGAGAGAGAGACAGAGAGACTAGCCCAATATCACTCAGCAAGCTTATGTGGCAGAGCAGGGACTCAAACGTGGGTATCCCAGATCCTAGTCTGATACTCTAATCACTATTCATCTACATTTCACATAGCCGGTCTGAAACAGACCCTGCCTGAAACGTTGGAAAGATGTGTCTAGTTCAAGTAGATTATGTGGATTACATCCTACAGCAGTCTATTTTAGTATAGCACCACTTCACAGATCCACATCAATGACAATCACCTTGTTTCATATGACTGAACTAATCAAATCGAACAGGCTCAAAATATAGTTTTCTGAGAGATTTAAACACCAAAGGGGGAGGTATGGTGGCTGTTCAGGGGAAATACTACCTGTCTGACTTTCTTGCACTGACAATCTTGTTCAAAGCATACAGGTAAGAAAGACTTAAGACTGCAAAAGGAAAAGATTGTTAAAATGTTTAGGTACCCAGCAGCTCCCCCAAGTAACGGAAAAAAATAAATGAGAGACTCATTGAGAGGTTCACATTGACTGAATACATGATGATGGTCTAGATTTTTGAAGGTGTCTTTTTAAAATGTGTCTATCCCCACACCATGCAATTCTCGACATCCACAAGGCAGATAGCCAAAGGCAGTCATTTTGTCTAGAGAATTTACAGAGATATCGTATACCCTTTACCTTTTGGCATTGTCAAGGAGAATAAGCATGCTGGCCCCTTCATCATCCTGAAAGCTTTCATAATGATGTCGATCAGCATTCCCAATCAAATAATCAAAGATGGCTGTATCAATGATGTCAAGGAGCCGCGGCCCTGCGTCATAGGGTGAAGTCTTCTTCACAGCGTCGCAGTAGCTCTCATCGTATTCCCACCTGCAAGACACGGAAGATCAAGGCGGAAACTGTGATGATCTATTTACCATATGAATACCCATCTTCAGACACATTTGAAGAGAGACCCTGAAAAAGGCTCAGGCCTACATAATCTCCAGAGCTTCCACATTTAGTTTCCCCCCCTTACTTAAATTATGAGTGATTAGGCTATCTACAGAAAGTCTTGTCAGATTTGTTCAAAGCCTGCTTGGTGAATGCTCACAGCAAGAGGTGGCTGACTTGTCAGCTTCACTTAGGTTTCAGCATAGCAGTTTTCTGCTTCCTTCTCTCCTTCCCGCCCACCAGCCAACCAACCTTTATCTCCCCCCCCCAATGCTGTCTTCAGCTTTCCTTCTTCACCCTGGCAGTGTCTCTCTCAGAAAATCTTCTGTGGTGGCAGCCACCAGGCTGGGCCCAATTGCACAGTGGGTGTACCCCCTCCCACACACCATTTTCTCTTTTCTTCCTCCTGATAGCCTCCATATACTCACCTTTTTCTGCTTCCTTTTCTCCATGTCAGGCTTGGCCTGATGAGTCCTCACTCAAAGACCAAAATAGCACAGGAAAGCTCCCGGCCCAGCCCTGCCCTCATCTTTAACTGGCAGAAACCAAGGCTTGACGTCTGTCAATACTGTTGTAGCTGCCTAGCAACAGCCAATGAGACAGCATTCATTCCTTAAAGCTACAGGCACTGCTTCTATTATTAGGGGGGATTTTTAACCACCACCCCATTTTTTTTTTTACATTTCAGATTTTCCTGCAAACCTAGGGCTTTCCTGAGGCTCATAGAAAGATCTGTCTTGTCTATCCATGGCCCCAGTCTTCATATTTAAGTACCCACAGATGGGACCATGTTGAGAATTCGACACAGTGATCATGTTTTATTTTGCAAGCGGTTTTGAGCAGATTCTCTGGAAAGGTGACATATACATTTTCTAAATTAAATTAAATCACTTTCTGCACTTTTCATAAATGAATGTTTCTTTCCTCATACTGCTTCTCAATTATGTACCTATAATCCTCACAAAGGCAAAGGGAGACACTGAACCTTTTAGCATTCATCTCCTCTGTACAAACCAAACTGCCAACTCTTTGCCTTTTAAACATGGTACATTTATTGTTGCTTTAACAACAGAAAGTCTGGCTCTAGAAGGTGACCTTCCTCACCCCCTAGACTTCCCTAACTCAAGTGTTGCTGAAAAAGGCCCTGAGCCAATTGCCTCCAGGCCATACCTCCAAGCCACGTCTACTCCAGGGGAAGCTACTCTCCTCTCTGACCTTACTTCATCTTAATTACTCACTTCAACTTTACCTCTCAGGGCTCTCCCCCCATCTCCTTTAAAGCCCCTCTTCTAGGGTGTGGGCCTTATGTGGGGCTAGGTTGCAAGGTGCGAGCATCTGACAGTGTTCCCCTTCTCTTCCACAATGGAGAGCTGTGCTGGGTCCCAGTGCCCTCGGAGGGAGCTAGGTGTCCATACAGATGAGGGGCAGGAAGAAAAACTAGTGATGAAAGCAAGTGCAGGCAGTGGGCTCCCCCCACCCTGCAGCCACATAATTGAGTATTAGGCCCTGCCTTTGCAAGGGGCAGTAAGATTTCAGGAGGAGAAATGTAAGAGATAAAAGTATGGAAACATGTTTGCAGGTCAGAAAGAAGAAACAGATAACCATGTTACACACAGGAATCCTAAAGAGCAATTAACAGATGCCACTATGGTTTTCAATCACATCTGGTGCATGAGGTACGGGAGTTGGTTATCTTTAAAACCAAATCAGATTCTCAGAAATCCAAATTTGAGAGTGGAATCGCAAAAAGCACAGTTCATTCTAGTCAGATATGCTAGAAGGAAGGAAGAACTAGAACCATATTCCGTACTCTTATGAACAGTTTACTTTATTCACAGAAGTTAGTGTAATGTTGATGATGGAGCTGTAGAATTATCTTAGATGAGACCAGAGGTCTTCTGCCAGCTGTTATTTCTTCTCAAACTCCAGATTTCCCAGGAACACCTCTACAGTCAAAGGCAATGGCCAAGAGAGCACCTGAGATTTTGAATTTCCCACGGTCTCTTGAGATGTTGAGCACCCTAGGTTTCACACAGCCTCAAACCACAGGCAAACCCCCATCAGTGACCCTATCTTCTTCACCAGCTAAATCTTCAAATTCTAACACTCTCATTCATTCATATAGACATAAAACCCATCACATTAGAGATTCTGACCATTACAAAGTTGCAAGAAAACTGGCTGACACCCCCTTTCCATCTGTGAAACAGTCCTTGTTTCCCCAGACTGGTCAACAGACACTGCAAAAAGACCATGACTGTGACGAATCTCGTACCTGGCCAATTTGCCCTCCCTGTAGGTCCTTCCCCATGGATGCCGATGCTTCTGAAGAGGCCAAACATCTGGCAGCCACAGCGTGACAGATCCCTCCATGGTGTCCCCATCAGCACAAGCGGGCTCTGTTTCCCGGCAATAGTAGCACTTCCCATAGAAGCAAGTATTATTCCCTTCAAAGCAAAAGAAGAAGTCCCTTCAACTTAATGTTCAGGTTTTTAAACAAAAAAGCTCTGGGATGTCCAGAGGCTAGTCAGGGATTTTTCCAGAGAGCCAACCTTCCAATGCAGAAATTGCGATCAACCTACTTTATATTGCTCAAGAGAAAACCCAGCTACTACTACTGCCCAACATTGTGGGAAAAGGCTGTAACAAATCTTACTACGCCTGACTGAGGGCAAGGACAGATATTTGCTTTACATGCACAAGTATAAGGAACATTTATTCACATGATACTAAAAACAGGAATATCAAAGCGTGAGGCAGACCTCCTGGTACTGGTTAACGGCTGATGGTTTTAAACAACTGCTTCTTTTAAATTTGATTTTTGATACTATCTTAGCTATGTTGTAAAGCCTCCTTTGAGTCTGGTTCTGAGGAAAGCCAGAATATAAATGTTTTTAAACCAACTACTGAAATTACTCTTGAAACAATTTGTTGTCCCAATCAACGCAAGAAGAAGTGAAACGGCAAAGATCGCTCCTTAACAAAAGATTCCTGCACATAATAATCTGTGGAATAAGCTCCTTAGCAGACATAACAGACTGAATCTTACAGTCTCTTTCTGCGTGTGGAAGGACACTTTTGGTGGTTGAAGGGAGGAATATTTGTTGTGTCACCCCTCCCAGGGCAGACTGTGCCCAACACTATTCCTGGGAGTCTTCTACACCTGGGCCAACCGCTGGGGGGCCTACATCAGAAGGGAGTAGAGCAGGAAAGTTCGATTCCACAAGCAGAGCTCTGCTTTTGGGTCACCAATGTTTCCCTTCTTCCATAGTTAAGCTACTGGGGGTGTGCCATGGAGTGATGTGCTCCCTCCACTCCTTTCTTCCATCACGGACATGAACTTCCCCATCTTTTCTCTTTTTAGAACTAACTACAGCACACTCCCTGTCTACTGATGTTACCTCTAACCACAGTCAGCTTCGAACTACAGTTTGCAAACCCAGTGGGGTGGTTGTTAATAACCGGTGCAGTCAGAATTCTGCACCATGGTTAGGCTCCGACAGGTGAGAACAAAATTGTACGAGAGGTGAGAAGGAAGGGAAAGGGAGCATCTGAGCCTACTTCATTCTCCCCATTTACTGACTCTTGGGAGATCAGGAAAGTTACATCTGCACTGGACTTAAGGGACTTCCAAAGCACAAGCAGACAGAACTTTTGCCAGCTCTTTGTGTGCTTCTTTCAATACCCGAGAGGACTTCCTCACTCACCTAACGCCAGGAAGGTACTGAGCAGCTGCTCCGTGGCAACAGGTTTGATTTCTGTGCGGAGATTCACAAACCTGCCAACCACAATAGGGGCTCGCCGGAAACCCAAGATTCTGTTTGGAGGAGAAAGCACACGAAAGAATGAAGCTTGAGGATAGGCGACATGGTACAAATCAGTCTTTTTAAACACACACAAACACAGGACTTAAAACCCATTTGCACAGAGCTGGAGAATTTACAGAGCATTTTTCAATTGAGCCAGAACCCCCTCAGCTGCATATGCCATTCTCATCACATGAACGAGATAGTGCTCACCACTATAGAAGTGAAACTCACAATTAGGGATGCTAGGGAAAAACATTGGGGAAAATGTCCTGAGCCACAAGACAGGTGGTCCAACTGCTGGGGCCAGGCTGAACACATATCCAAGGCCCTGAGGTTGCCTGCTGGAACTAGAGAGCAGCTGGCAAAAGGTATAGTGGCCAAGGGCAGAAAACCAACTGTTAACGTGCTGGATCTGTGCAAATCACGGGGGCCAGCATACCCATATTCCACAAACCCATGCATACACACAACGTCCCAGTTTGCTAATATGTCTTTGCCCTCAAGCTATGAGGTTTCACATTTAAGCACTCAAGCCCTTGGCAGCAAGCTCAGTACTGCACACTATGGTCATCACAGGGCTGATGCCAAAAACAGCACTTGAGAGCTTCCCCTCCTGTGCCATAATATTTAAGAACATAGGGACATTCCAACATAATGTAAGTTCCACATGATGGAACAGAGACTCAACTCAGGGAAGCAGGTTTTGGTATAGACCAGCCCCAGAACTGATTTAGATTACGGCTTTATCCTAGGTGTAACTAATGCTCTTGGCATACGTCACACAAGACAGGGAAAAGTTTAGTTGCTGCGACAAATGTCTAGTTACTTACAAAAACTTTCATAAAATGTACGGGCCTTTTTTGTTTTTTTTTACAAGCTTGCCTGCCTGACACATAACTAGTCACTCACAGCCTAAGAGAGCTGCTGTAAAGTTGCCATGCTTGTCTCCTGGAAGTAATTTTCTACCTTCCACAGGTGACCAGGCAAGTGACTATTTACAAGCCTGCTTCAGTTGTTTCAATGGCTGCTGCTGTTGCCACTCCAGTTACGTGAGAACCATGTTGGGAGCACCTTACCTAGAAAATTATCTGGATTCTCACATTTAGAAAACAAAATAAGGAAAAATGCTATCCTATACAGCTCTTCCACATAAACATAAACAGAAGAATGCAGACACAATAAGAGTTAGCTATACAATGGGCCTTGGTGTTTAGTCATGCCAGCCACATGACCACGGAAACGTCTTCGGACAGCGCTGGCTCTTCGGCTTTGAAACGGAGATGAGCACCGCAACCCTACAGTCGGACTCGACTGGCTTTCGAGCAAGGGAACCTATACAATGGGGACCCTTTTTCCTGCCTGCCTGCAATTTTAACCAGTTCAAGTAAGAAATCGTTTTCTTCTATTGTGTCCAAGGACAACTACTTTTTCCTGTTCTCAGTCTCTAAAAATAATTAATTGTAATACAATTTTAATTGTAATTCAGCATGAGTGTACCTGTCCAGATGGAAGGCTGCCACTTCCGCATTGTGCCTGTCGTATCCAGCATACGGCTCTCCTTCTACCACATAGTCTCTAGCATATCTGAAAGTCGTAACAAGAGAGAGACATTCTAGTGCACTGTTCCGGATTTCGACTTCCAAGCTGCAAAAGAACAGGTCAAGCGGAAGGAGGATCTGCGTATTCTAATGTAATTCACTGAGAAGGAACATGGTTTAATTTAGAGACATTTTTCTCGGGTAATAATCATATTGCCATTATGAGCTGCAAGCTAGAATTCTGAACAGCAGACAGAATTTGTTGTGTAATCTACATGGTGGTTCACGGCCAGAATGTCTTTTCTATGGCGACTTCCCATCCAGCTCTAGCAAACCCAGGATCCATGAGGGATGTATCCAATCAGAAGCTGGCTTGTGAGAAAGGCGCTAATCATCTCAGACACTCCCCTCAGCTCTCTATACTCTTTCCACAAATGAACACTGTATTGAAATAGATGGACAGGCAATTAAGCTACATCTCCTGTCAGCCCTCTTCTCTCCTTCTTCTGGGAATGATTATAAAGCACTCCACTTTGGGAAACCCTGGTGAAAGTCTTTTAGTTTCTCTTATCATTCAATGCAGGACCTGGATGGTCCAGGCTGGCCTGATCTTGTTGGATCCCGGAAGCTAAGCAGGGTCAGCCCTGGTTAGTATTTGGATGGGAGACCACCAAGGAAGTCCAGGGGTGCTAGGCAGAGGAAGGCAATGGCAAAAAAAAACCTCTTAAGTCTCCTGCCTGGAAAACCTTACAGGGTTGCCGTAAGTTGGCTGCAACTTGATGGCACTTTACACACACACACACCATTAAATGAGCACTTTTACCTCTTAGGTTTGAAGACCACTTTCTGTCCCCCTTCCAATATGAGTAATGCTTTCAGCTGAGTGCCCTTGTAGCCTACGTCTGCTTTGATGATCTTTTTTGTAGCCATGGCATGCATCACGGCCCCAAGTTCTGGCGTCTCCTCTGGATACACTTCACGTGGCACCACCCACTGGGCTGCAATCTCCCAGGGGGACTGCAGCGTGTGGTCAAGTCGCGGGTCCAGTACCACCTGCAGGCTGGCCATCATGCGATGATAAGCGCGCTGGTCCTCACGGTTAGCTGCCGACGTGTCCAGGTTGTCTATGAGGAAAACCTTGGTGAAAATGAAGATCACGAGGAGGATTGCCAGAAGCACCACCCGTTGCTTCAACTTCATGGTGGGAAATAGTCTCTAATCCCAATCAGCTCTTCCAAAGGCTACAGGAAGTCTCTTACAAAGCAAGGCGAGAAGCAGCGTGGAACTTGATGGATTTCATTCATAGCCATTACTCCAACTAGTCCACTGTGGCAGATCCATCTTCCGGTACCACTGTAAGTTAATAAACATAATGGAATTTTATACCTTGAGGCATGATCTGCCGGTTGGCTGTGTATAATAGACATTTCTGTTTTTTAGTACTTCTGCTGCACACTCAATAAAAGACCTACTTTCCGTAACCTGCATTTTTTAGCTCCGCGACACTGTTGAAAATTCTTCAGATAAGTGCTTCCCCACCGGAGTCTGACTGTGAGATATGGAAAGATTTGTACTTGATGATAATTCTAAGGAAATCTACTTACATGGTATAAGAGACAAAGCAGCTGGGCGAGCTTTAATACCTGACAAGAATCTTGCAAAATACAGTTGTGCAGGCTGCAGATCCACATGACAGGCCAAACAGCTGTCCTGTGCAAGTTTTTTTAAAAAAAAATACTGCAAAAATGTGCTGCCAAACAAACACAGAAAAGACTGTGCAAGAAGATTACCATGTTTGTTTATACCAGTGTGAGCCACCTAATTTCTGTTAGTAGTCTTTCTATTGCAAAGTCCCCAACTTTTGCAGATTTAAACACACCTTTTGTTTTGAGAGAACGAGAAGTAGCACCAGTGCTACACAAACATAATTCAGAGGCACAGAAAGACCTCCAAGATGTCTTGGTAGGATGTAAGCCACAGCATGGCTAACAATTTACTTGAGAGCATTGACACCAATTGTCCAATATACAGGCTTGATCAGTCGTGTTTTGGCTATGGGTTAGATTTTTTAAAAAACGATAAACCACTTCCTCTATACAAACTCCAGAAGAGTGAGCACAGAGGGTGTGATCACTTTATCATCTTGGTCAAACCACAAACACCCCCACCGACAATTAGATCTGGGGACAGCAATCCTTTACATAAGCAAGATACATCCCCACCCTCTTTCTTGGCTCATCCTTCCCTCCCCCAATAGCAACATTTTAAATGTAAGAGGGCAGTTCACCACTGTTCTCCTATTGAGGGGCAGGCCTCCTTATCACAATAGGTCTAATTCTCAACACGGCCCCATATGTGGATACTTAAAACTGGAGACTGGGGCCAGGGACAGACAAGACAGATCTTCCTACAAACCTAAGAAAAGCCTAGGTTTGCAGAAAATCTGAAATCTTAAAAAAACCCAAAATATATTGGACAAGTTAACTTCCCACCAATGATAAAAGGAGCACCTGTAGCTTTAAGAAACAGATGCCCTTAGTGGCTGTTCCTAGGTAACCACAACAATATTGCCAGCCTTGGCGATACTTAGTTTCTGTCAGTAAAAGCCAGGGTTGTTGTGGCCTTAAAGGGAGGACTCATTGCTGCCAGCAACCACTGGGCAACTTGCTACTATGTACCTTGCATTACTTAACCAGTCCTGGCTGCTTGCTACTGTTCAACTGCAGCCAACCAACAAAGCCCAGTGTGATGAAGCACTTTGAGTTTCACATTAAGATTTGGGAGACCCAGGTTTGAATCACCATTCTGCCACGGAACCTCACAGGTTAACTTTGGGCTGGTCACACACTCTCAGCCTATCCTACCTCACAGGGCTGTTGTGAGGACAAAATAGAGGAGCGTTGTTGTGAGGGCAAAATGCAGGACAGGGGAATGATGTAAGCCGCTTTGGGTCCAAACTGTGGAGAAAGGTAGGATATAAATGAAGCAAATAAACATCAAATATAGTTGAAGATGAGGGGGGGGGCAGATAAAATGTGAATGGGTTTGAAAGAGAGGAGGATATGGGAGTTGCTAGGAGGTGGGAAAGAGAAAACAGTGTGGGAATGGGATACAGGAGAAAGTGAGGTACCTCCCACAAATCCCTGTAGGTTCCCCACTGTGCAGCTGGGCCCAGCTTTGTTAGGCACAAAACAACTTTGTCAGTGTTTTCCCAGGAAGAGGTTGCCAGGGGAAAGGAAGGAGGGAAAGTTGAAGATGGGAAGGAGAGAAGGAAGCAAGAACACAGTACAGGCTAGAGAGCATTCAGGGAAGGGAAACAGTGGTGGAGGGCAAAATTAGATGCCCACTGCAAGTCCCTGTGGTCATCCACTTGAGTTATTCTGAACATATCATTTACACCAATTGTGATCTATAGCTATGTCCAGTAAAAAATAAGGATCATGTGTTTATAAAACAGCCACAGGATGTGACAATCAGGATACACAAGGATATGAAACATCTGCAACAGGAACATGTTACTGGACGTCTTGTACATTGACTAGTATTGTTACCTTGTGCAGTACTTCTAAGGATGTTTCATAATAGGTATCAGCTACAGTACTGGTTTTGTGGTATTCTTCACCAAAAAATTTCCTTGCTTCATTCTCCTTCCCATCCACCAATTAACCTCCATTTTATCTGCCCCCCCCCCAATCTATACTGTAGAACTTACACAGATCATATGAGGTCTTGGTTAAAATTCGGAGAGAAAGCTCTATGTAAATCCTTCATCTCCTTCCTTCTTTGACATGTGGTATGATCTGGTTTTCCTTTGCTGGTTTTTCCACAGAACTTCAGAAAAGCCTCCAGAACCAATTATTTTTATTGCCTTGAAGTTTTACAACCTCTGTTTATACCCTGTAGGTTTTAATTTCACCACATTTCAATTTTACCACCATAATTGTTTTATGACTGAGATGTATTGTAAATAAACTAGCTTATTTACAAATATGGCAGGGTATACTTTCCCCTAACAAACAAACGAGGGAAATGAGTTTCTGAAGTCTGCTGGTTGAACTGTCCCTGGTGTTTAATTTCAGGGGGGAGAAGGAAAGAAGAATGTAGCACAGTGGGTACCTTGACGTGGATAGCTCAAGCTAGGCCAATCTCATCAAATCTCAGGAGCTACACAGGGTTGCCCCTGGCTAGTATTTGAATGGGAGACCACCAGAGAATACCATGGTTGTGACATGGAGGCAGGCAATGGCAAACCACATCTGAACGTCTCTTGTCTCGAAAACCCTACAGGGTCGCCATAAACCAGCTGTGACTTGATGGCACTTTTCACCACCACCAGCATAGTGGTTAAGAGCGTCAGTGGGGGAAGCCCAGGCAAAACCCCTACTCTGCCATGAAGCAGACTGGGCGACCCTGAATAGCCACCCTCACTTAGCCTTACCTACTTCACAGTTATTGTGAGGACAAAATGTGCTCCTTGGAAAAAAGAGCCAGCTAAAAATACCGCACCAATCTTGTGCAGTTTTTTAGAAATGTGCTTTCATTCAAAACATCCATGGTAATAGATCTCATTCACAGAATGGCAGGTTATTTACTTGCCATTTGAACCTATGACAATTCTATTCTGTTACTCGAAAGGTGGGATAGCAGGAAAAGATCTGGAGATCTTTTTGGTCTGCTTACAGCAGCTAGGCTGTGTGTAGAGCTACCTACAAGAGCTGAAGCCACCCTCCATTAGTATTAGAGATTGTGGGAAATTGTTTTAAGGACAAAATGAGCCCATTAGGTAAGCCTGGAAGACCCTGGCTTGTAATGTACCAAACAGATTTGTAGAGAAATGGTCACTGTTCATTAAGCACTGGAATAACAAATTTCAGGATGAAGTTATACATTATGTATGTTATGACGGGACAGGATTGCTCCATGTTTATTAAGCTTTGTAATGGAACTTCTAATAATAAAACGTATTTCAAGAATAGACAGATGCCACGGTTCAGATCTTTCTGAAAGCAAATACTTCCGATCTGAATGTTTCCCACTCTAGATCTCCTAAGAGAGGTCTGGTCTAGACATGCAGTGGAATGAAGTGACAGAACAGGCTGTTCCACTTCAGAATGCAGGTGGAGTTGGGCGCTTAATGCTCCCCGCCTATAACTAATTAGTTCATCGGGGTAAAAGATTCAAGCCTATTCCTTTGCACACTGTAGAACTCTAAACAACGCAATGGTCTCCTCTGCAGTCTGAAACAGCAAAGTCCATTCTACCCCTTCACTGTGCAGCCCGGAGCTGGTGTCAGCATACCTTGAGATAAGGTAGCTGCCCGGGCTCACTACCCCAGAGCCACACGGAGACACGGAAGGAATAGTGGCACTCCTGCTGGGCACAGTGGTGATCTTCCTATCTGCATTTACTAAAGCACTATCAGGGTAAGGACATACGGTCAAGTAGGAAGGCTCACAAACAAGAAGGGGAAATCAGGAAACACAGGCATGTGGGGATGTGGGTAGGCTGGCAGCAATGCTCCCTCTAAGCTGTGGAGTCTGGTGAGCAAAAATTCTACTTTGTGAGATATTGACATTAAAGTTGTGAGCAAGCAATTTGGCTACTGCATAAATTCGTTTGCTCTGGAGCCCTCCTTCCTGAGCTAAGGCAAAAATGCGTGAGCCGGAGGCTAAAACCCTGTGAGCTAGCTCACACTAACTCAGCTCAGGGGGAACAGTGGCTGGAAGGAAGGCATGGGGGGGGGGGCCTGCTGGTGGTCACAGAGGAGATGGTGGGCCTGGCCCCAGACCTGTTGCAGCCCATCTAGATCAGGCCAGGGGGCAAAAACAACAGTCCCATGTAGTGATTCAGCAATGAAGGAGGAAGTATCCTCCACACACGCTCAGAGTCCCTTTCACCCATTAACACGCCCTGAGCAGCAGAGCGCCACGCCCTCTGTCGTGGCTCAGCAGTGCGAGCAATGTGCCCTCTGCACATGCTCAGAGGCACTTCCACACCTTCACCTTGTCTGTGACTACGTGGCATATGTCAACAGTTCAGTGTTGGAGCTCCTGAAGACACACGAGAGGGGCGGAAATAAGAGGATATCCTCTAAACTTCCTCAACACAAGTGAAACGCGGAGCTGTGAGGTAATTGCGCTGGCCGTCATGTTCTGCCCCCCCCCCCTCTTTACAGGACAGTGTTGGTACATCCCTCCTAGTCTCCCCACCCCCTTCATACACATGGACGGACCCACGGTGAATTATGAAGGCGGGGAGCGCAATGGGAGGGGATTTACAGAGCCCGGCTTCCCCACCACACACACACTTTTAGCCCTCCAGTGCGCGCGCACCCCCCTCTCCTCTCTCCTTCCCTCCCTCCCTCTCCTCACCGTTCGCTTCATTACTTACGCAACCAACAAGCACCCACGCGCCATCCCCGCTGACTGGGCCAGCCGGCACTGCCGCCACCGCCAGCTGCCCCTCTCTCCGCGCTCCCCTCACTCACGCAACATGGTCCCGCCCAGCTCGTCCACCCCCCTTCAGCCAATGGGAACGCCCGGCAAGGCCACGCCTCCCTCTACAGCCGTCTACCCGCCCTGAACGAGGCGACGTCGCGCGGTTTACTCTCGCGCTAAGCGCGGAGACGTAGCCGCCCAAGAGTTCCTTTTTGAAGCGACTCGGCGTTGCCGACCCGCGCCAATGGAAAGCCGCTGTCCAATCATGCCGCTTGGCTTCCTTCTTTGCCAGCCAATGAAAAAAAACACGCTGTGGAATACGAGACGAGGTAGGCGGGACCTCGTGTGGGTGTCCTGTTAACCGTTTCCTGCCCGGAGGAGACCGAGGCTGTGCGCCTAAAGACGCTTTCCTGGGAGTAAACTACGTTTAATAACACCACAGAGTTACTTCTTGCTGATGTGCTCTTAATACTTGGAGTGCAGTCGAATTAGCAAGAACAACTGCGTTGTTTCCATTTTCTCAATAGAAAATTCATTGATTCCAGGAGTCTGTGTCAAGCAAATGCCAGTAAGAAAACGAATAACGTCCTTGTGTGACACTATAATGCCCCTGTACATCCAGGTTCCATTTACCTTTCGCCCAATGGCTATTGATAGGCCAGGATTTTGTCTAAACTCTTTCTTTAAAGCTATCTAAAATGGTGGCTATCACTACGTTTTATAGTATGTTTGCTATTGTAAAAAGTATTCGTAATGCCTAAAGTACTTGTTAATGAGTGACAGGTAAGCAGGTAGTCATTCCTAGATTAAATAGATGGTTATATTAACATTTTTATACATGTTTTACGGATGTCCAGGTGTAAAAATGAGCAAAGCAAAACCAAACATCTCAAATCACTTTTAGTTACACAACAACAATGGCTACCTCTGTACACAGCGGAACATTATGCTATGGTTGCCCTTTAACAACCATCTCCTGCCTGGCCTACACAAGAAAATCCAGTTAAATTATTGCTGTAGCACAGTACTCCTCCACATGGTGTGTAGGCATGCCAGGCCTGTGCTCGTGCTACCTGGAAGATGTTTCAGGCCTGGAAGGGGAATGTGTCACTGCCCCCTCATGACACTCCAGGAATTCCCCAAACTATTGTAATTACCATAGAGATTGGGTCAGTTCCTAAAGATTCTCTGGGTGGTTGATGTCACTTCCATGCCTTCACCAGTGACATTAAAATATCAGCAAAGCCCCCACCTCCTTTATCCTGCTGCTCACTGGTCCGAGGACAGGCAATGGAGGGGAGGAGCTGCTGTTTCCATGTCCTCAGCAGGCAATTAGAATTCCTGATGGCTCCTTTGGCAACATAATGTCCACCTATGGGTCTCCTGCCATCCAGTAGCTTCTTCCACAAAGCAAACAGCATACAGGAGATCTTTTAGAAGAACTCAAGAGGCATTGCCGTTGTCTCTGCAGGGACCTTTCATTCCAAAACAGCTGCCTCCATCATAGAGGACACTTGGCTTGCAACCTCCCAATAGTTTGTGGCTGACCTAGAGTTGCCAGCCCTGGGTGGGAAAATATCTGGAGACTTTGGGTGGACTCAGGAGAGGGTGGGGTTTGGGGAGGGACCTCAGCATGGTACAATGCCACAGATTTCACCCTTCAAAACAGCCATTTTCTCCAGGAGAACTGATGTCGGACTCCTGAACAAACATATTCTCAACAACACTCTCTTGGCAGTGATTTGTTTATTGAGAGAGCAGCATGTCTCAAGCTAAAACCATCTTGTGTTAGAACTGACCAGGTTGGTGCCATTTCAGAAATTATATAGGATTCAAACAAGCCCCCCCCCCCATGACCCGTCCAATCACTCCTTTCATTCAGCCCGCCTAAATCTAGTGTGCACCGTTAGGGCTCCTTCCCCCACCTGCAACCTACTATAATTTATCTATGACAAGCCGGCTAGCAGAGACAGGCTTTCAAGGTCATTTCCCATACTTCCCAAATTGGGAGGCTTCTTAAGAAAACAGCTGCAAAGCAGTGAAGCACGTTCCCACACACACACTCACACACACTCACTCCAGCCCTCCCCCCAAGAGATGCAAACAGGAAAATCATAGGCAGTGAAAACAGAATACACAAAACTCAGCCCCCCCCCCAAGAGATGCAAACAGGAAAATCATAGGCAGTGAAAACAGAATACACAAAACTCATGACAAGCAAGGGTCCAAGTCTGACAATTGATGTCTGTCAGCTGGAGATCAGTTGTAAAAGCAGGAGATCTCCAGGTCCCACCTGGAAGCTGGCAACCATAGGCTGACCCCAGCAACCCATGGCAGCCATTTTGTGGTGCACCTACTCTCCATTTTCAAAATTCTGAAAGTATCCAAAGGCTCACTGAAACTGCAGGCCCGTGCTACAATGCAATGGTAACACAATATCCAGTTACGTATGATTGCTAAGCAAGCCAACTGACTGTAATGTCTGGACATTCCTTCCAAGCAATTGGTTTTCCCAGAGGTCATTTCGGGGGGAACGTGGGGGAATGCAGTTCCCCCGGGTGAGGTGCAGGGGGGCGGGGCACATGACGAAGCCCCGCCCCCTGCTTCCGGCCGCCCCGCTTCCAGCCCTCATTTAGCCAGGAGGAGGCAGGAGAAGAGGGAGGATAAGTTGCTTCCTCCCCGCCTCTCCCCACCCCTGCCTGCCTGGGGCCAGGGAGGGCCTTGGCAGGGCTTCCTCGCACTCCCGCTGGCCTTGCAGGTCCACCGCCGGGCCCCTGATGTCAGGGGGTGTGGCATATGCTAATGAGTTATGCTAATGAGTTCCCCTAGCTCTTTTTCTACGAAATGACCCCTGGGTTTCCCAGCTAGGGAAGCCAGCCTCTAGGTGGGACCTGGGGATCCCCTGGAATTAGAGCCCATCTCCAGACTACAGAGATCAGTTCCCCTGGAGAAAATGGAGGTTTTGGAGGGTGAACCGTCTTCCCCAGACTCCATCCCCAAATCTCCAGGCGTTTCTCAACCTGGATCTGTCAACCGTGCCCTAAGATATTGCAGAAGAATGGAATCATTTGGCACTCTCCCCTCCAGGATTCTATAAACTCTTAAGGGTTTGAGTAAGCCACTTTCATTTCTGTGGTGGTCCCTTCCCCTCCCCACCCTTTATCTGACTCTCAGCTGTTCTTAATATCCCAAAGCTCCAAGAGCTTGCTCACTCCTCATCAGGTCACTTTTGGGGAAGGGAGTGTTCACCTTCTTGGGTTAATTTACAAAGACCCTGCACACTTGGGTAGGATTACCAACTTCCAAGGCAGGGCCCAGAATTCTCCCAGAATTACTATTAGGGTTGTTAACCTCAAGGCGGATGCTGGAGATCACCTGGAATTATAACTGATCTCTGGATTACATTGATCACTTATTTACTATTTACATATTTAAAACATTTATTCCACTTCTCCTAGAGCAAAAGGCTATTTTGGAAGGTGGACTGCATAGCATTATACCCTACCAAGGTCCCTCCCCTCCCTAAATCCCACTCACCCAGGTTCCACTCCCAAAACTCCAGGTATTTCCAACCCAGAATTGGCAGCCCTAATTATTATTTATCTCCAGACTACAGAGATCGATTTCCTTGGAAGAAATGGCAACCTCAGAGGAGGGAGTCTAATGACATCTCATCCTGGGCTCCTTCCCCCTCCTTCCAAGCCCGGGCTAGCTCGACCCCGTCAGATTTCAGAAGCTAAGCAGCGTCAGCCTTGGCTAGTATTTGGAAGGGTGACCTGCAAGGAATACCAGGGCTGTGACGCAGAGGCAGACAATGGCAAACCATGTCTGAAACATCTCTTGCCTTAAAAACAAATCTATCTCGCCCCCTAGTGGTGCATAACACTAAAAAAGAGCTAGAATCTCTGGCTGTCAGACAATCTTAGGATCTCCTGGCTATTCTACACACAGTGCCATACAATTATTATTATTAATTATCCTCTCCAAAATATGCCTTTCCAAGGAGTGCTCCTCCCCAGTTTCCAGGAATTCCCAACCCAGAGCTGCAATCCTACTGGAGAATCACTGAATTTGACCTTATTTTGCTGTTTTAGTGATTGCCACAAGACTCAGCCATATAGTGACAACCTGGGGTCTCACAAAGAATTACATGGAGGGGAAGAGTACACAACAGGTCTTCAGGTAACATAATTCTCCCTCCCCTCTTTCCCCTCCTTTAACTGGCCCTGAACTGCTCTCAACAAGCTGTACCTTCTGCAGCGTATTTACCAAGATACTTTTTGCCTACCTGCTGAGTCCCCTAAATAATGTAGAAATCCCTACCTTGTCTGTGCAGGGTCTGGTTTTCCATCTGCTGTGATTAGTGTAAGCCACCCAATTATTAATAGGTCTGTGCTGTTCACCCAGTATGGGTGGTTAAAGAAATTCGAGGAAGGCACGGTGATTCTGAAGAAGTTAGGTGGTGTTTGTTGCAGTGGTTAAAAAATGTAACACTCCTGTTTAAACAAATATTGAGAAACATGGGCTGGCCTGAACACGTCACTTTCTAAAGGATGTAATAAAACAGAGAAAGACAACAGTATGAATTCAATAACAGGAAGGCATTTAATTGTACTTAGAGGCAGAAGTAATTAGCTTTCTAAAAAGAGATAACCATTGAGAAAAATATCTGCCTTATTATGCAAAAATTAATAAAGCACAATTACTCATTTTTAATATATGTATTGGGGCCACAGAGTGGCAGGCATTAGGATAAATTTGTCATATTTAAGAAGTAGTCAGCTGTATATCACCAGGAGGATATCACTGTATTTTAAAGTACACATAGAAACATTACAGCATAGGTATCCTTTAAAAAAACAAAAAAAGTGACAATTTTGTCTAGTTAAAAAGACAAAAGCCTTTTGACATAGATAAATACACTTAAGGATTATCTTGGACTTTATTTCAAATATCTACAAACATAATTAATTTTGGAATACATATAGCAGTTTGGGTGATAGTATAATATCTATACTATGTTAGTTTTAATATCCAGATGTTGTTTTTTTGAAACCTCTGGA